ATTTTTTCAGATGTGATAGTGGTATTGTGGTTATGTTTTTAAAAAGAGCCCTTATCTTTTAGAGATTCTTACTGAAATATTTATAGATGAAATGATATGATATCTGGGATTTACTCAGAATAATCTGGGGCAGTGATTCTTACTTGGAGGGCTCGTTAAAACACAGATTTCTGGGTCTCAAGCTCAGAGTTTCTGATTCAGTAGGTCCGAAGTGGGGCTCCATAATTTGTATTTCTAACGGTGATTGATGTTAAGTCTGAGGACCACATTGTGAGACCCACGGATTTAAGGTGTAGGAGAGTCTGGGGATTTGAAGGAAACAAGGTTGGCATGAGTTGATAGTGGTTGGAGTAGGGGGTACATGGTAATGTGTGTACATAGGGTTCATGACACTACTGTACTTTTCTTTGGAAATTTCCATAATAAAACAGTGTGTGTTTATCTCCAGAATTTGACTATTTCTCAGCACCTCCTCTGCTCCCATCTGGTCCAGGCTAGCATCATCTCATGCCTGGATCATTGTAGTGCCTCCTAAATGGTGTCCTTGCTTTTCCCCTTGCCCCTTATGGTCTGTTCTCAGCAGAGCAGCCAGGGTGATCCTCAAAACTCTCTTTCAGAGTGAAACCTCAAGACTTTTTATGACCTAGAAAGCTCTTTACAATGTGGTCCCCACTCCGTTGCCTCTGTCAGACACAGTGACCTCGCTGGTCCTTGGCTATACCAGGAACGCTTCTGCCTCAGGACCTTTGCACGTGCTCCTCTGGGCCTACAGTGCTCCCCCATGCTCTGCTCAGCCATCTCTCTCATTTCCTTCAGGTCTGTGTTCAAAAGTCACCCTTGCAGAGAGGCCTTTTCAGACCATACTGTGTAAAATTTCACTCCCCATACCCCTCACCCCCATATCCCTCTTTCCCTACTCACTTTTCCTTCTTAGCTCATATCAGTGTCTATATAGTGCTTATTGGTCTTGTCTATCCCTCTTGGCAGGAAGCTTGCCTGGCACCCTGCCACTCCACCGCCTTCATGGCTGTGCCTCGGTAGTGCCACTGCCCCCGGCTCCCACCCCCACCCAGGTTGGCCTCCTCTGTCATCACTCATCCATTCATGACACACGTCCCTTCTTTGCCACTGCCCAGTGCCTGCCTCGGCTAACTCTGTCATCAAGAGACTTTTGTCTGTTTGGTTCCCGGCTGGATCTCGGTGCCTAGGACAGTGCCAGCCTCGGAAGGCTCTCAGACACACGTTCACTGAAGGAATGGCCGAATCCCAGGGCAAGAGGTGGACGAGGAAGAGGGTGGGAGAGTAGATGAGAGCACTTTCCTTAACAGGCTGGAAAGTCCTGGCCGACGGGAGGGGAAGCAAGATCGTTCCCACATGGAAAAACCTACAGGAAATGCAGCGAAATGTGGAAGACAGGAATATTCTATTTCTGAGATATTAAGTAAGGAAGGACAGAAGTTGCAAATGGGCCGACCAAATACGGCCTGCAGAGGTGTGTGTGCAGCCCACACGCTGCTTAAAATAAATTTGGGTTGGTTGCCAACACTGGAAAATCAGGAGTGTCCTATTTCTCTTGTAAAACTGGAGACTTGCTGGCACTGGGCTGGCACGCCTGCCTGGGGGCAACTGGCTGGAACTGACCATGTGTCCCTAGTAGAGGGCCGGTGTGTGTCATCTGGTCACCCACAGCCCCTTCCAGCAGCTTCTTTCATTCATGACCTGCCTGGTACCTGTAGTCATTCGATTTGTAAGCTCCCCTTTGAAGAGCAAAATGGATTTCTTCTTCCTTCAAACCTAACTGAGGACCAGTTGTTTGGGGCAAGAGGTGGTGTCGAGTGGTTTTGGAATAGGCTGCCGGGGAGGCCAGGCCTCTGGGAGAGTGGAGGTGGGGCAGTGAGAGCAGCAAGGGGGCCCTGCATCACAGTGGGGTTGCACCCTGCCACCCTGCTTATACACTGGAGGGGTCAGAAGGGGCCTTGGAAAGGAAGCCATTGAGAAAAGAAAATAAGTGTACTGGAGAGACGGTTTGCTTTAAAAGGACTGGCTCACCAAATGAAAAGATTACCAAGTGTTATGGGTTCAGATGTGTCCCCCTGAAAGATTGGTTAAAGTCCTAACTCCCAGTACCTGGGATTGTGACCTTATTTGGAAACCGGGTCATCGCAGAGGTAATTAGTTCAGTTGAGATGAGGTCATACTGGAGCAGGGTGGGCCCCCAATCCAATATGACAGGTGTCCCTGGGGAGAGACATGGAGACACAAGGAGCGGATGGCCACGTGACGCTGAAGGCAGAGAGATTGGAGAGACACAGCTGCAAGGCAAGGGAGGCCAAGGATTGACGGCCACCACCAGAAGCTGGGAGGGGGCAGGGAAGGGTCCTCCCCTGGAGAATTAAGCCACCAGGTTTGTTTCCAGTTAGTCTGTTTGTGGTGGAGAAACAGCATCTCCTTACAAAACTCTCACATCCGCTAAGGTCGTGACCTGCTGTGAGTTGTCACATGAAAAGTCAGGGACAAAGACGTTTATATTAGGGAGTCAATAATTTACAGGATTTGAATGGGACCAGGTGGCCCTGTGGTGTTGGGGTTGTTTGTTATTTAAGTATGAGGATGAAAAGTCTTCTTTTATTTGTGTTTAATTTTCCTGGTGACCGGGGACGTGATGTGCGCATTTGTCGTCTGTGATCCAGCAGGGCGAGGGGTCGGTGTTGTTTCCACAGCTTCTCCTCGTGGTCACATTCCCCCCTCTGAAGTGTGGATACGACCACATCACTTTGGTTAGCAGTTTCCTGATGTTTTGTTTTATTTGCTCGGGATTATCTGCAGAGGTCAATGAATGCACAAAGACCTCCTTGTTTTACGGTTCACAGAATGGGAACCGAATGATACTGAGGCGTAAGGGTTCTGTTTTAAGGCTTTGTAAAGCTCCGAGGGTTGAAATATATGTTTTTGTGTCAGAATTATCCACTTGCGATTATCAACTTGTCTGTGGAGGTGAGCACCAGGAGCTCCTGGCTTACCTCTCCCGGGTTCTGCCTGCAGCCCCTGCGGACGGGGAGACCCCACGTTTGGCCAGGCGCATGACCTGCAGGAGGGACGTTCACTTCTTCTTGTGAGGTTGGGATTCACAGGATTTACCTGTCCTAGAGCAGCGAGCAGGCCCATTTCCAGGAGGACTCTGTAGACACGTGACACAGTGCCTGTCCCTTAACAGATGTGATTGAGTTAAGGACCTTGAGATGGGGAGAGTGTCCTGGGTGTTCTGGGTGCGCCCAGTGTACTCACAAGGATCCTGAAAAGATGGAAGAGGGAGGGACGAGAGGGAGAGAGAATGAGATGTGAAGATGGGAGCAGAGGTCAGAGTGATGCGATTGCAGGTTCTGAAGAGGAAGGAAGGGGCCAGGGGCTGAGGGATGCAGGCCACCTCCAGGAGCTGGAAAAGGCCAGGAAATGGAGTCTCTCCTAGAGCTTCCAGAAGGAACACAATCCCGCCAACACCTTGATTTTAACCCGGTGAAACCCATTTCAGAGACTTCTGACCTGCAGAATTGTAAGATCATAAATGTGTGTTGTTTGGGGCCACTGAGTCTGTGGTCATTTGTTACCACAGTCATTTATTAGGAGACTAAGAAATCATTTCACCACCTCTCCCAGCTGCCCTGTGGTCTGAGACAGGTTGAGGGAGTAGGTGGGACTATGGCCTCCCAGTCCTTTTCATAATTATCTTCAGGTTACTCTGTCCACCCCTCACCAGTCCCCCAAAAAACACTAATCAATCAGAAAAATTCGTGTGAGTGTTGTGGGACAATGTAATTTGTTAAACTGGTTCTTAACCTTTCTGGTGTCACACTCCTTTGAGATTCTGATGAAAACTATGGGTCCCAGCCCCATAAAAATATACATCCAGAGCCAGCCCGATGGTGTAGTGGTTAAGTTCATGTGCAATGCTTTGGCAGCCCGGGGTTTGAGGGTTCGGATCCCGCACGCAGACCTACACACCTCTCCTCAAGCCATGCTGCGGCAGCGTCCCACATATAAAATAGAGGAAGCTGGGCACAGATGTTAACTCAGGGCCAATCTTCCTCACAGACACACACACACAAATATATGTATATATGTCCAAAAAATTTGCATACAGTTTGAGAGATTATACAGATTCCTCCAGTGTCTGCCTGGCCCCCCTCTGCCACCCCAGGTTAAAAGCTGTTGTATTAAATTCAGTTGAGGCTGAATGACTGCCTTCCTAGTAAATCTCCCTAATTGCATTTGTCAGGCCCTTATTTGAGGATTCATCCATGTTTGTATTTTGTTCTGTGCATTTAGAAACATTCTTCTGAGAAGGGGTCCCAAGGCCCGCCCCTGTAATAGCCAAAGGTGTCTGCAGCATCGTTGTAAAGGTTAAGGGCTCCCTGCTCCTAAGTGTCCTTCCCTCTGTCAGTTTTGCTTTTTCCTTCTGCTTTCCACTAGGCTGTGTCTTGCCGTGGGTGCTGTCAGTGACTGCCGGAGACCCAGGGGTTTCTGCTCATGCAGCTTGCCTTGGGAGTCACTGGGGGCACCCAGGCCTTCTGCTCAGGCTCCCCTGTGTGTTAGCAGGCCCCTGGGGACAATACGTAGGAAGGAAGGTCCTCCCCATCGGGTCACGATGACTCACCCGTTTCTGAGCATGTGGACTGCAAAGTGACAGGGCCTGGCCCATGGCATCTGCTGCAGGCACGAAGCCAGTGCCTCTGGCCTGCCAGGGCCTCCCCTCAGCCTCTCCAGCCCCCAGGAAGCTGCCGGCACTTCCAGAAAATCAGACAGCAGGCTTTTCCTGGGAAGGTCTGAATCTCTGCAGCTCGGTGATTGGCTGATCATAAAGCCTCACACACATGACTTGGGGCTGAGTTTTGTCTGTGCGTTTTCTGTTTGGGGAGGGTGGGGAGCGGGACGGGGAGGCTGCGGTGAGTGGACTCTGACAGGGGACGCACGCTCATGTTGTCTGTGATGTGTTTCTCCCCCAGCTCCGGAAGAAAAGGAGGTCATTAAGGGAGAGTATGGGAAGCTCACTGATGCTTATGGCTGCCTGGGGGAGCTCAGGTTGAAATCCGGTGAGTACCATCCAGACGGAGCAGCAGCTGTCAGAACGTGTGACGCGAGGCTTCTGAAGCTCTGGGCAGAGCCTCTTTGTGTTAGTTGGGGAAGACTGCAGGATTTAGGCGTTTTATTTTAACTGTTGTGATCTTTTTAAATGTTTCTTTATTTCGCCGAGCCTGCACCTCCACGCTGGGGTGGAGACCAAGGTGAGCTTAGCCCGGCTCTCTCCACTGTCTGTGCTGGCGGAGGAGGAGGTGCGGCCAGCCCTGGTGCCAAGGAGGTCATTTTCATTGTTTGCCCACCAGGACCTAAGTTTTTCGGAAGTCTGGCCTGGGGGTCCGCCCAGGGGTTGTTTGTCCCTTACAAGGGATCTGTACTCTAGAGGGGTGGATGCGGGGAGTCTGTAGCCCCTGGACTCGCTGGGTGTGTCTTAAGGGAGAGTAGCCAGGTCTGGGCGATGTTGACAAGGAAAGAAAAGCCACCAGTACCTGACCGTTAGGCACCCAGGGTGGGCGAGAACGTTCAAAAAATGGGCCATGTAATCTGACTTGAAAAGGCAGAGAACTTATAGGATCAAGTGGGCATCCTTGCTCAGTATGAGACTTGCAGGGCCAAGCCATCGGCCGGCCACACTGCCGTGGGGGCCACAGCCTTGCCACGGGGCCACAGCCTCACCTCTGCGCTCCTGGAGGTCGTGGGTCTGCAGTCCCCATCCTTCCTCCTCTCTCAGCCACCTCATTTATGTTGGCCCCACTCAGTGTCTTCAGTGACTTATGAGACCAGACCAGAGCACAGGTGACATTCCTGGTTCTCGGTCCTGCTTGGTGAAAATGGGGATGGCTGTGAGTTGACCAAATTCGGGTGGTGGCTTTTCCTGAGCCCAGCTTGTGCGTCTCCACGTCTCACGCAGCAGCTGTTTTCCTGGACTGAGGATTTTAAAAGCCGAGAGGATAGCAACTGTGGTCTGGCCTGACTTTTCTGGGTCTTTTCTTTCATGGGATGGTTTTTCCTGAATTATGATGATTACGTTGATCATTTCCAAACAGTGTTTAGACAAAACCAGTCCCCACATGACAAAATACATTTATTAAATGTCTGTTTTATGCCAAGGGCTAGCTATACATTAGCTTATTTCCTCCTAAAAGTAAGCCAATATGATATGGTATCTTTTCCCCTGTTTATAGCAAAGGAAACTAGCTCAGAGGGTTAAAGTAACTTGCCTCAAGTAAGAAGCTTAGCTCGGATTCAAACCCGGATCTAGCTGCCTCCAAACACTTGCTTTTTCCAGGAGAATGTGCTGCCTGCCAAGGGTTTTCTCTGGGATTTCCCCCCCCCGGGCAGTGATTTTTCAGAGGTTACGAAAAATTCCTGTGGCCCTTGCCTCTATCATGATGGTGCGAGGATGACAGCTGACCTTAGAGTGCGTGCTCTGTGCTGGATGCTGTTTTAAGTGTCTTAGTGTATTAACTCAGCTCTCCCAACAGCCTGTGAAGTAGGTACTCATGCTGTCCTGCTTTACAGACACAGGAGGAGAAGCCCAGGTAGCTGAAGTGCTGTATTTCATCTCTTCTGTGACACATTTTTTGACATTGTAACATCGAGGCACTCGGGATGTGTTACAGTTGTTGGCATCTTAGCGTTATAATTGGCAATGTTTTTCTTGTACTGAAGTTAATGATCCGTTTTGCATCTGGTGGGGACCTGGATTCAGGGCAGGGCCGTAACTTCCCGGGGTAGGTCAGCTGTCCAGTGGAGACCTGGGTTTGAAACTCGTGCCTTCCGGCACCAGGGGCTGCTTTCACCTGCCAGGCTGTTCTTTCCTGAAAGGGGCAGAAAGGCTGAGCTTGAGGGACAGGAAGAGCAGTACTGTCCCGCATCCCAGGGAGAGCGTTTTCTCCTGGGCTGTGATCTGAGATCAGCCACAGGAATTGGTCCTAACCGGGAAGCGCGGCAGCCCCCAGAGATATATTGTCAGATGCAGCCAGGGTGTCTACAGGTGCCGGCCCAGGGGTCCGGGCGGGCTTCAGCAGGAGGAGGGAGGGCGGCAACTTCTCGAGCTGCCCTAGAGGAGGCTCTCCTCGCTTCCGGCAGCCAGTGCCCACCCACCTGCCCCTCCCCTGAGGAGTGAGCGCACACAGCCTCTGGTGCCATGAGAGACTAGCCGAGCGGGGCCGTGCCCTGGCATGGGGGGCCGTCAGGTCTCCAGCCCCCATTTCTGATGTCCTCTCAATACCCCCAGCCCTGCCTGCCAGAGTCGCCCTCCAAGTGGGCTGCGAAGGCCCTTTGAGTGTGGTGAGGATGAGTTTGACTTTTAGAAGGTCAGGGTTATTAGGCCTTTTTCAACACATTTCTGCAAGTGCCCTAGCATATCTGAAGGACGGAAGGATGGGGCCTTACAATCAACTTTTCCAGACCCCCCTTTGTTACGTTGAAAAGTGTTTGGCTTTAACTTGATTTTCTTTTCCCACTGCACGTCCCCAACCTTGAACTATGATCTGTTTTGTTTTGGTTTTTTTCTTACCTGTTGAGGGTGTGGGGCAGCCAGGAGGGAAATTCCAACTTCTAGTTGCGACCCACATGACCAGCCCGAGCGGAGGATGGGCTCCCTTTTGACTTTTTTAGGCTGAGGGTCTCTGTACAAAGACAGAGACTTCTCCTCAGGCTCTTAACTTGGGGCAGTCGTTCAATTTCCATCTTCCTAAGTGAAAATAGCCTTTTATGTAGGAAATTAAGAAACATGCACAAAAGTTGCATAAAAGCTTTATCTCAGGTTCCTAGGTTTTCATGGAGAGCCCAAAGTTCCTCCTTCCTCCCTGAAATGCCAGCAGGAAGAGGGTGGAGCTCCACGATTAGCCTGGGAGTTGGGCTTCCTGATATATACACAATACAAAACAGAAAGTGAGAGTATAGCAATAAAAAGAGTTTATCCCAATGATTATAGGGATTTAACTCCCTTTTAACCTAAGATCTCAAGGCCTGCCTGTTTCCTAGCTTCAGGGGTTGAATAAATTGAAGTCTATAATGAATTGTGTCTCCTAGAGTTGTGCAGTGCACAGCCTGTGAAGCTGTGCATGACAGCCCTATAAACTTTCCACCAGATAGCCCTCCTAGGTTCTAAGTCTAGCTTCACAACAGACTGACCTTCTGAGTTCATTTACTCTCTCTAGAGCTGTTTTCCCCTCCATGAAACCAGGAAAACCGCCTCATCTCTATCTTACGGTTCTTAAGAGATTTACATGACAGAATGAACATGGTACTGAGCATAGGTACTGAGTGGGAGGGGGCTGGCCTGCAGAGGGGTCCCTCAGGGAGAACTGGGTGTGGGGTAAAGGCCCCAGCTGCATGCCTTTGGGCCGTTGACTCTGGGGGGATGGTGGATCTGCAGAGGCCAGCTAAGGGCTGACTTCGTGGGGGTAGTCACTACAGAATAAGGAGTCTCTGGAGAGGGAAATTTGAGTCTTTAGTCTTACGAAATTTAGGGTATGCCGTGTTCTCCAGCAAGTCTTGAAATGGAATGGCCTTCATCAGTCTTAGAATAATTTGTTTTAATACCTATACCGCATGGTGTGCTGGTGAATAGTTGACATCCAGCTCTCTGGAGGGGAAAGCCCTGATACGCAGTGTTTGCCAGTTTCCGTGGTGTAAATGCACTGAGCCTGGCTGATTGCAGGCTGTCGGTGCAGAGCTGGGAAAAGATATGCACGGCTGGCTCCCGGGGGCCCGTGTAACTGCCAGCACACCACTGTCCACACCACTGTCGTGTTCTAGGAAAGGAAGGTGGAGGAGGTCCTTGTACACGCGGAGATGAGGAATTGAGACTTCTGGGCTTCTTGGTGTGGGGGGAGGGCCTCGGGCATCCTCTGGCCAAAGCTCCTCACTTCGCGGTGGGAAAGCCTAGTGTTCATATGTCCTTTGTTCGCGGGTTTAAGTATGAGAGTACCTGTACGAGCAGAAGGGTGGATAAGAGGGTCTGTGGGCACCCCAGGGTTGAGAGGGTACAAGGCTGGCCAGGGAGAGAACTCGGAGGCTGAGCCAACGCAGAGAAATGCCAGCGCAGGAAGAGCAGCGAGAACACGCCCAGCATTGTCCCCGAATAAACGGCATTGTGTCTGCGCATGACTCACCGCGATCGCGATGCCAGCCCCTCCAGGCCAGATGACAAATGGCCACAGCTAAACAAGACACGGACCCTCTTACTGCAGGGGTTGGGGGTACTGGGTGGCTTTGACGTGGAGCTGGGTTTTAAAGGCAGCCGCCTGAGGGAGAGAATTTCTAAGTTGATATTGAGGTTTCAGAGTTGTTTTTTTCTTTATTAGGGTAAAATATACAAAAGGTAAATTACAAATACCATTATAACCAATTTTAAGTGTACGGTTCAGTGGCATTAAGGACATTCACATTGTTATGCAACCATCACCACCATCTATCTCCAGAACTTTCTTCATCTTCCCAAACTGAATTCCTGTACTCATTAAACAGTATATTTGAGGTGGTTGCATTCCACTTCCCTACCTGCTTGTTCAGGCTGCAGGCAGAATTGTCTAGACTATGACCCTCCTGCCCTCTGGAGGGTGTGTGTGTGTGTGTGTGTGTGTGTGACCCCATCTGGTTCTTCTGTGTCTTCCGGCTTGTGACCCATTGCTTGCCCTCCCCGCCACCTCATCTGACTCTGTCCAGCAACCTCTGACCCGGGCCTGGTCTTGCTTTGGCCAGAGCCCTGGAACCAGAGAGTTTGAGTGGGAAGGGACATGGAACCCATCTGGTGCATCCTCCTCTGAGGCCCAGCGAGGGTAGGACACTTGCCTGAGGCCCCGCGGGCCACTGGAGGCGTGCAGAGCCCAGAGCCCCATCTCTGAGGCCGAGGCGAGTTTGAGTTTTGTCTTTCCCGTGCTACAAGATCCCTACTGGGTTCAAGTCCCTGGACTCAGCCTCAACCAATGACTTCTGAGACCCTCCCTAGGCCTGTTTACTACTCGGCTGTGAGAAGACTGATCCTGCCTTAGTAAAACCAGAGCCTGGATCCTGTGCTCAAGGTGAGCATCAGAGGGGACTTCCCACACTCCTGGGGCAGGTGACTACCACCAGCCTCACTTCTATTCCTGAGAGACACCTTCTTTGTAGGGATCACAGGCCAACACCGCACTGACAGGTGGGCCAGGGGGGCAGTGACCCCCCAACAGTCTGGTGCTAGACTCAAACCAGGAGCCTTTCCTTAAACCTGTAGTGTGTGGGGAGCACACAAGGCTGGTAAACAAGATTGGGGAGACGCAGTCAGGCCAGTATTGGAGTAACAGGAAGCCATATGCTGGGCGCGTCCCCCTCCTAGAGTGGCTGTGGCCTAGGGCAGTTCTTCTGGGGTCACCAAGACTGTATCCAGGACACAGACATGGTTAGTTCTAAGGAAAACAATTTCCAGGTCCTCGACTCCTTCCGATTATTGGTTTGTCTAAGAATGTGCTTGTGATGAGGGCCAGCTTCTCATTCCCTCTGTCCCATCCACAACCGCCTTTCTCCCATCTTACCTTTCTCACAGTGGCCCAGGAAGTAAATTCCTCCAGGGTACCAAACAAAGGGACACTTCAAAATATTGTTGTCAGCCCTGTTGAGGAAGTAAGTCACCTCAGTGACTAGGTGACAAATCTGTTTGCAAGTCAGGTGGTATTCAGTTGTTTGCTTTCCACAAAATTGAAGAACTTAATTGAAGTATCAGCCGACAGCATCAACAGTAATTTTGTCGATAGATCCTTGTTATTTTTTTTAGCATGTAACTCAGAAGGGCTTTGAAGAATTGACTGACATTTCTATAATGAAGCGCTTTGTATTCCCATTAATGTATTGATGTGAACAAGGTTTCTTAGTGTTCACATCTATAAAAATGAGAATAGAACTAGAGTTGATATAGAATCTAGTTTCATTCCATCAATAAATAATATTTATCCATGAATATGTGAACTAGAAGTTCATCCATCTCAGTAAGAGATGCCTTTCCAACAACTCTTTACTTTTTATGTTAAATGATTTTTTAGCAAAATGTTTTGTTTACATTGTTTGATCAGTCGTGTGCTGAAAATCATTGCAATGATAACTCAAACCAGAAGCAACTCTTTTGAAACACTTTGAGCATTAGGATCAGATTCCTGCGCAGTGTAATCAACACAAGACATGGAAGTACAAGATGCGTTATACTAGGATGATGTTCTGTGGGGAAAGTGGAATGGAGATATGAGTGAAAATCCCATCTGTTAAAGAACTTGTTCATATATTGCTTTAAATAACAGGCAATGATGAGAATCAAATCACTGTCTAGATTCCGTTGGATACTGGTAAAGAGGCCCACAACAGTTTCCTTTTCAGATGTCAATATTTAGCATATGCTGAAAATCTATTACTCACAACCGTGTAAACTAACAATGAAAACTTTTGGTGTCAGTTTAAACATGAACAAGAGGCACATGGGTCAGCGACACTCTTAGGGAGACAACAAGCCAAAGTGATGGGAGACTGCTGGACCTTCGGGCTGGATGGAGCCCGGGCCAGGGCGAGACCCGTGTTTGTGTCTTGGTTCCAACACAGACGCGCCGTGCCCTTGGGCAGGCTATTCAGCTCCCTGGGGGACAGCCCCTCGTGTGTGACGTGGCAGCGTTGTCAGGCATGTTGGCCATACTTCTGCAAGGATATAGTCAAGAACACCAGCTCTGAAGCTGGACTTGGCTTGAGTAACTTGCCCGGGTGGTGTAGCCAGAAAGTGGCTTTGAATCAACAGCTCCCCCACTGTGTCACCTTCACTAGTTAACCTCTCTGTGCCTCCATCTTCCTTCCTGTAAAATGGGGCTAAAAATGGTCCCTCCCCTGTGGGTTGCTGGGAGGAGGTCTGTGGACTGGTGCTTGGCGCCTGTAAGCACCGCCCTGAGAACTAGCTGTCATCAGAGCGCCTGGCTGCAGCCACACGTGGCTCTCATTCACCAGCTCCCTCTCCTGAGCCCCTGCTCCCGGGACCAGGAGCCCGAATTCTCAGTGGTGGCGGCACCTCCCCTTTGTCCTCATTTATTTTAAGAGTCTTTTCGTGCCTGCTGCAGCATACTCATCCCGAGCCTCCCCCGGCCGCTGCCCTGAACAGGAAGTGCCTACTGCCTTCAGAGCAACCTGGGACTCCTGCCAGGGACTCGGTCCCCCACGCAGAGGCTGTTGAGGAAGTGCGGCTAGACATCAACCTCACGGCTTGGATGGAGGGATGTAAAGTAAAATTTGCCATGCCTGTCCTTGAACCCAGTCCTCACAGAGTCTAATCTTGGGCTTGCAGCCTAGACCCCAGGGATGGTCTCTGGCCACTCCAAGGGGGCTGGTCTTGAACTCTGCTTGTCACTGTGCTGAGCCCATCGGAAGCGGCAGAGAGGATGGCCGGGCATTGGTTCCAGCACAGGCTGTGGGAATATTTGCATTCGTGAGGCTGTGATTTGAGGACGGCAGCCCCACATAAACCCCCGCTTGTCTTCCAGAAGTGACGCCTGTGCTACTTAAGAAACTCAGCCCCCGACACCTGTCACTGTCCGCAGCATAACTGCCTTATTCTCGTGTTCTTTTAAAATGGTTTCCTGATAAGCTGCCTGGAGAGGTGGGATATGAGCCACTGGGTCGCCGTGTTGGACCTGCCCCCCACCGCCCCCCGCCATATACATGGTAGGATTGGTGAATGAAGGCGTCTTAAATAAAAACCAGACATTACCTGCCCCACGGAGCGCTCTTCTCCCTCGTGAGTGTGGGGAGGGAGTTGGGGGAGGTGGTGAGCAGGGGAACTGCCAGTCCTGGGGTCTTTCATCAGAGCCTCCAGAGATCTGGGAACATTGGCCGCCGTTGTTCCGCATCATGACCACTGACCGTTTGGAGCAGGTCTTGCTAGGAGTGGGTCCTTTAAACCTCAGCAGGGTGGGTGGGGGGTGGCCTCTGCACCAGAACCACACCAGCCCCTGAAGGCCAGTTAGTCCCCCAAGTTATCCCTTGGGCCCTCTCCTGAAATAGAGGAGAGTAGGGTCGCTGGCCCCACTGTCCCCAGAGCAGAGCTTTGCTGTGCACCCCCACTCACACAGCGTGTGTGTGTCAAGCACCTTTGTGTGCCAGGGCCTGCTGTGTGGTGGGGGATGCGCAACAACCCTGGACAGTGCGTGGGGTCCCCAGAGGGGGGTGTCTCCTCCTGGCAACAGGGTCAGCTGTGGTTTGAGTAACCCTTTCACGGGGGGCGGGGGAGGCTTGAGCTGCTCTCGTTGGCTTATTTAGGAAGCATTCATCAGATACTTGCTGTGTGCAGTGCTGGGATATAACAAGGAAACAGAGCCCTACTCCTAAGGAACCCCCAGTCTACTGGGGGACACAGATGGGGAAGGAGGTTGTAGCTTTGCATATGACGAGGGCTAACAGGGATGCTGTTGGCACATGGAAGGGGCACCTAACAGTGTCTTGGGAAAACAAGGAAGGCTCCTTGGAGGAGGTGCTGCTGAGTTGACCCCAGAAGGGTGGAGAGGAGTTCTCCTGGAAAAGGGGTGGAGAGGTCAGGCAGGATGGCCCTGACAAGCACTGGGAAGGCTCGTGCTGTTCTAGAGGGTGGAGGGGCGGGGAAGGTGAGTAGGGAAGGAGTCGTGGAGGGCCTTGCTGGGCAGGTGGTGGTGGGGCGTCCTAGACAGAGGCAGCATCTTGTGCAAAGGCCCAGGGGTACAAGGGCGTAGGGCACATTTGAGGAGCTGCAGAGGACAGCCCTTGAGAGCCGCCGGGCCCTGAGTGTTGTATGTGAGGAGGGACAGGGTGGGCAAGGTTGGGATGGGAGGGCCCGAGAGGAGTTCCCGTTTTGGTCCTGTGGGGCGTGGCAGCCGTGGAAGGATTTAAGCAGAGGAGAGAGGTCTGCGATCAGGTGAGTTTGAGGGGTGACTCCAGTGACGGAGCTTGGAGGACTGACCCCAGCTGGGGGCCCGGAGCCAGTCAGTGGCTGAGGATTAGTGGGGAGGGTGCATTGGAGACGTGGCAGATATGGGCGAGGTGTGGGGCTGGGAAGGCTCCAAGCCAGTGGCCCTCAGACTCTGGTGGGCAGCAGAACCACCTGGGGGCTTGTGAAAGCATGGGCTGCCAGCCCACCTGCAGACTGCAGAGGTCTGGGAGGGGCCGAGAATCTGCATTTCTAATGAGGTCCCAGGGGCAGCTGTTGCTGGTCAGGGGCGGTACTCTGAGAGCCACGCTCTAGGTATTAGGCTCAGGTGACAGGGCGGATTCCTGAGACACTGACTTTAGGAACGAGGTGCGAGGTGCCCCGGATGTGAGGGAGTGAACAGGAGGTCGTGAAGTTGCAGTAGGAAACTGGGCAGTTTGTACCCCTTTGTCACTCTGAGCTGTCCTGCAGCATCCACTGTGATCCTAAGCGCACACATCTGATTTCCTTTCCAGGTGGCACTTCCCTGAGCTTCCTGGTGTTGGTGACAGGCTGCACATCTGTGGGCAGAATTCCAGAGGCCGAGATCTACAAAATCACTGCCACCGACTTTTACCCTCTTCAGGAAGAGGCCAAGGAGGAGGACCGCCTCACAGCCTTGAAGAAGATCCTCAACTCGGGGGTCTTCTACTTCTCGTGGCCCAACGACGGGTCGTGCTTTGACCTCACCGTCCGGGCGCAGAAGCAGGGCGATGACAGCTGCGAGTGGGGCAACTCCTTCTTTTGGTGAGGGCCCTGGGCCCGTGTCCCCTGCCCCCGGGTCACATGGAGGGCGGGCTCTGATTGGCGCCAGGTCGTTGATCTCAGCTTTGCATCATCCCCAGGATCCTGGCTTACCTCTGAGCTGTGATCGTGCCTGCTGGCTCTCAGCACAGTGAGAGGAAAACTAACCCGGATTCCCCACCCCCGGTCAGGAGAGGTGTCCAAAGGGGTCTAGTGTAGACTCAGGAGAGAGAATCTGCTCCATTAGTGATGAGCATAAGAGCCACATCTCCAGCTGCCTCCTAAGGGTCTGGGCCCGTGCTCAGCGCTTCTGTGGGGATTCGCCCTTTTGGCCCTCTCGGTCACCCCGGTTATCCTCCAGCGCACATGTATTTACTGCTGATGTTCATAAAGCACTCATGATCCAGGCACAGTTTAAGTTCTCTGCAGCTAGTAACTCATATAATCCTAATAGAAATCTATGGGGTAGAGTCTGTGATCCCCATTGGACAGATAAGGAGACTGAGGCTGGGACAAGTGAGGGAATTTGAACCCAGGCCTTCTGGCTGAAGATCCCATGGTATTGATCACAAAGCCAAGCCAGCTCCATCAGTGGGGAAACTGAGTCATCCTGCCACAGTGATGTGCTGTAGTGTGACAAGACACGTCCTGAAGCCCAGACAATGGTGGCTGGATTTCTGTATGTTTAGGGTCATCTGTAGCCAGCCCTGGTGGTCCGGCAGTTAAGACTCAGTGCTCTCACTGCCTAGAGTTTGTTTCTGGGTCAGGGAACCACACCACCCATCTGTTGGTTGTCATACTGTGGCAGCTGTGTGTTACCGTGATGCTGAAAGCTATGCCACCAGGATTTCAAATACCAGCAGGGTCACCCAGGGTGGACAGGTTTCAGTGGAGCTTCCAGACTAAGACAGACTAAGAAGGACCTGGCCACCCACTTCCATAAAAAGTGGCCATGAAAACCCTGTGAATAGCAGCAGAACACTGTCTTATATAGCGCAGAAGAGGAGAGGGTGGCACAGAAAGACCGGGCAGGGTTCCGCTCTGCTGTGCACAGGGGCGCTAGGAGTCAGAATCCACTTGAGGGCACTAACCACAAAGGATCATCTGGGCGCCCCTTCATGGACATAGCTAGGTGTGGATGGCCCTATAAATATGTAAGTTATCTCTTGCCCTCTCTGGGCCCTGGGGTTCACGCCCCTGATGAGTCCTGTGAAAGGGGGCAGTGATTTACATACAGTGGTACCCAAGCCTGGGTTGTCAGTGGTGCTGTTCCCCTCAGATTCACCAGGAGAAGCAAATCAGAAGCAAAAGTGATGAAAATCATGCTCTAGAAATTGTCCAGTGTACCTCACATACTGAGATGTTGTCAGAATTCCAGTGTTGGCCTTTCGGGCCCTAAGACAGGATTGGCGAGGCTAATTTCACCCTTTATTTGTACCTCTCTCCCTTTGCCCAAACAGAAGAAGTCATAGGTTTCCATCACCAGATAAATCTTCTTTCCTTGGTGCTTCGGATCCCCCACAAGTGAATTCCTGGCTTCTGTCTGGGGAAACGGGGAGTTCACCATATCTTTCCATGTGTCCCAGTGCTCCCCACCCTCAAATCCTCTTGGGTTCTGTAGTTTTGTTGAGTTTTTTGGGCAGTAACGTGCTCAAACTTCAAAACGCACGTGAATCTCCTGCTGATCTTGTTAAAATGCAGATTCTCATTCAGCAGGTCGAGGCTGGGGTCCGAGACTCGGCATTTCCAGCAAGGCGATGGTGGTGGCACAGCTGCTGCTGGTTTGAGGACCACACTCTGAGTAACAGGCCCAGGGGATGGAGTGTGTGAATCACTAGTTACATTTTGCAGGGACCAGCTGGTGCATGTGCCCCTTGAAGGCAGCCGAGCTTAGGGACACAGGGGCTGTGGATTATGAGGGTCTCCGTGCTAAGGCCATGGAGCCATTATCAACCCCAACTGTCGGGCGAGCAGAGGCGAGGGGTCTCAGAGGCTGTCACATTCCTTGGAAACATGGTTAAGGCTGTTAGAGATGCCTCCATCTGGATCCCCCCAGCACCTTTGCAGCTGCCCTTCCCAGGCCGCCTCATGCTCTGTGGTTGGAGATTCGAGGTACACAAAAAGTAGTAAGACAAAGGGGAGGTTCACAAAGTGGAGGCTGAGAGGGGCGTGGGAGGCCCCGAGTGGACACTAGACTCTGTCCTGAGTTGAGAGGAGGCGGCGACCCTGGAGCGTGCCAGGCTGCAGGGCTCTACCACACTCTGGGGCGTGGTGTTTGGGCTCAGGGCGGTGCCCACGGAACTGACCACAATTGAGTCAGCCCCAGCAGAGCGGTCATGGGCTTGACTGCCTAAACCCACCATTTGGGGTGGTGCGTTCAAGGTCTGGACCTGCATCTGGAGTCAGATGGGGTCAACACTGAACGTGGCCGGTGAACGAGGGAGAGGGTGCAGTGAGGGTGGTGAGGTCATTTTTCTGGGCTGGTTATTGACCCCACTGGTCACTGCTTCCCAGTACAGTCAAGGCCTGGGAGGAACGCGAAGCTGTTTCCTGTGTAGTTTTGGGCCTCTTCCTCCCGGGGTATGAGCTGCCCTCCCTCAGGGGGTCAGGCCAGCATGACTACAAACAAGGATTATTCAGAGTTGACCATTTGGCAGAAGCCTCCTTCTCCTGACCCCTGGTGACTGACAACAGCTGTAGATGTGTGGCTGAAGATTCTAGAATATTCTGGAGACCGTGCCTTGACACCACATGCAGATTTAATACGTTTGTTACTAGAGCTGGTTGATCATCTGAATTTTAGAGAGTGACTCAGGAGAAGGAAATGTCTTTTTGTGGAGTAGGGCTTCCTGATCATCAGCTTTCAGACAGACATGCGCTGTGGCCGTGAGAGCTCAGACGTGGCCGTGCTCCCCGAGGGGGTGTCTCTTAGCACAGGTGGAAGCGGTCACAGTCACAGTCCAGGAGGGTGGCCTCAGAGCAGGGACTCCTGAGGTGTCAGAGCTCACAGCCCTCTTCTCCAGCAATGAGAAAATGCTGCCATCCTTGAGGAAGGCTCGAGGGCGGGAACAGTGCTGCCTTTGTTAAACAAATGGGGCATTGTGATCTAGATTTGCCTAATACTCTGTAAGAGAGAGGCTCAGCTGAGGGTTCTTGCCTCCCTGGGAGCATGTTCCGGGCCTCAGGACAGCACTGCTCCAGTCCCCTGGGCGCACTGGGTGGACCTGGAAGCAGCTTGTGGTCTCCGGGTGTCCAGAGTCTCCACATGCTCTCCAGAGTCTCCATGCGGCTGCACACAGGTGAGGCTGTCAATGTAGGGCTTCAGCAAGAGAGGTGCGGGGCTGGCCGTGCTGGGTGAAGAGCACGGGCTCTGAGCTTCCACGCCGTCACTTAGCGCCTCCGTGACCTTGGGCAAAGCCTTCCCTTCTCTGTGCCTCGGTTTCCGTATCTGTAACATGGGCTGAATGATGATACCTTTCACAGAGGGTTGTTTCAAGGATGAAGTGAGCTAATCCACCCCAAAGCACTTACAGTGGTGCTCGGTGCACTGGATACACGTTGGCTGTGTTCCCCACCATTATCATCATGGACACCAGGAGTCTCCAGAGGCCCAGAACAATCCACCCACCGCCGATGGGGAGGAAATACTGGAACTTCCCTTCAGCTTTATTTTCATCTCATCCTTTTTTATTTATTTTGGGTTGCTTTGTAATGCTCTCATTATATTCCCCTCATGGGATGGGTATATAATTTAAATAAGCATGCATATATCTAATATGATTATTTTTTTCGTTGTCATTTTATCATTTATTATTATTATTTAATCGCAAAGCATATGATTAATTTTTTTACTGATGGGATTTATAATTTAAAAATGTGGAGGCCACGGGTCTAAATGGAGGCATCTCTGAAATTCCCTGAAAGGCCCATGATGAGCTCACACTCCACACGTGGCTTTCAGCCTCTGATACTGACAGCCCTGAAGTAGCTCTGGGAAAGGACTCCTTCCCTTTCCTGCTGCTCACCTCTCAGTGGCCCTGCTGACTGGGGTCTTTCAGAAGCCCATGAGTGTCCCCAGCCGCGTGCCCCACGTGCAGGGTTCACGGGGAGCTGTGTGCATCCACTTCATCCTGAGTGGGATTGCCAGCCCCACGGTGGCTCATCCCTACCTGCTTTGGGCAGAGTGTTTCCTGGAGGATGGGAGGTGACCTGAGTCTCTGTGGGGCTCTATTTTACAGGAACCAGCTGCTGCACGTGCCGCTGAGGCAGCACCAGGTGAGCTGCTGTGACTGGCTGCTGAAGGTCATTTGCGGGGTGGTGGCCATCCGCACGGTGTACGCCTCGCACAAGCAGGCCAAGGCCTGCCTCATCTCTCGCATCAGCTGCGAGCGTGCCGGCGCTCGCTTCTACACCCGTGGCGTCAACGACGATGGCCATGTGTCCAACTTCGTGGAGACGGAGCAGGTCAGTGCCCAGGCCGGTCTGTGGCCTCTAGTGGTTCAGAGTGGAGACAGCTCGGGCAAACGTGTTTCCCTTTGAGGGGTATGAGGCAGTTTCTGATGATCGTGACTATTCTAATATTATTCTAATAGTAGAACAGAATGTGTAGTTGGGGCTCTGCCTGCAAATGTGGCCTCTGGTTTGCATGGTGTATCTTTTTTGATTCACTTCTCATGCTGGGAAAGTGTTTACTTGAGATATTTTCAGCTAAAAGGAAGCAGGAATTTTTGCCATGGTCATGAAGGGTGGCAGTTATTCAGAGAGCAGCTGATGGATGAACCAGTAGGATTTGAAAATCTTTTTAAGACAAAAATAAGTAGATCAATACTGGAAGGATGAGAGAAGAAACAATTATTTTTCACTCAAATCAACCAAAACTTCACCCTCGTAGCCGGAATTAGCACCTGGGCGTTGTGAAATCTGCATATTAAGCAGCAGTGGCTTTCAGCTCCCATGGAATATAACCATCTGCTTAATTTCTCATTGATTTCTTTTTTCTAAATTCTGTTCTCATTCCCAGAAATGCTGTCTTACAACTGTTTTTTCTCTAACTTGCAATCTGTAGGATAATGCCGCCGTGTAGACCAACAGGTGTGATAAATGGCAGGAAAGGACCACCCCATGAAAGGCACAGGTGCAATATTGCTGTGGGCATCGGGCTGCAGACGGCCTGTGTTCATTTAGTGGTGACGTCCTCTGCGTCCCCTCCTTGACATGCAGCTGTGAGAGGTGTTTCCTACGAGGGCTTTAGCCAATTTAATTCAGCACAGATTTGAGCAGCCGCCTTCCGTGTGTGAGCTGCTGCCTGCTTGCCTTTCAGAGGCACAGAGGTGAGGAGGGTGCTCTTGGGGTCAGACGCCGAGGGGGAGCATTTGGAACAAGAGCCTTAAGATGAGGGGCCATTGCTTGCCTGCGACTTCTGCTCACACTGTCTGCTTTCCTGGATATGGACGAAGCTGGTAAATATCTGGTTAAAAATGACGGAGAAAAAATGTGGCCCTCAAATGGAGACTATTTTCCTTTTTGTTGCTGGGTGTCTGCAGGATGGAAATTACTTCCTTTTGTTGTCATGCCCGCCTTCATTAACACAGTGTTTCTGCTTGTGTTATTAGCTTTTGAACCATTGGATTCATTCAACAAATTGTTATTTTTTATCGCCTGCCATGGGCTGGGTGCCGTGCTGGGAACTGGGGGCCAAAAGTGCAAAGAATATTTGTACAAATCAAATACCGGAGAGCCTGAACCTGGTAACTGAGCCAGATGCAGGAGTTCACCAGCGGACGGCCCCGAGCGAGCCCCTGCAGCTCAGCTCATTCTGCGTCCAGCCCTTGCACAGATCATACCTTGCTTGGTCCTCTTGTTGGGTGCTCTCTGGATTTTTGCATTTCAACCAGCTTTTTAAAAAATTGGGGTCTCACCTACTGTATCTTATAAGAAATTGGAAAATCAACTGCCCTCCATGTCACTATCCTTTCCTAAGAGAGAGGGCATTTTAACGCTGAAAATGCAAGAGGACTGTAGTAGTTTCCTCGGGCTGCTCTAACAAAGTACCACAAACGAGGTGGCTTAAAACAAATGTCTGTGAGAAATTTATTGTCCTGGTTCCGGACGCTAGAAGTCTGAAATCACAGTGCTGGCCGGGCTGTGCTCTCTGAAGGCTGTAGGGGAGGATCCTTTCCTGCGTCTTCCAGCTCCTGGTGGTCCAGCTCGTGGCAGCATCACTCCAGTCTCTGGCTCCATCTCACATGGCATCTCCTCCCTGTGTGTCTCTGTCTCCTTTTATAAGCATAGTCATACTGGATTAAGGTCCCACCCCACTCCAATATGACCCCATCGCAACTAACTGCATCTTCACTGACACCGTCTCCAAAGAAGGTCACATTCCGAGGTGCTAGGGGTTAGGACTTCAACATATCTTTTTGGGGGACACAATTCCACCTGTAACAAGGACATAATCTGATGTTAAAGAACTACGCTTTAAAAGTAGTACATTTGGCTTTATGAAAAATCTCCTTGTCTTTGCTTTTCTCATTTTTCTGCAGACTAGGGTTGGAGTCTTTGCTCTGGTTGTTTCATCTCCGTGTGCCCAGTTTACTTGCTCGGGCTTAGAGGCAGGGACCTTGTCCCCTCCTACACCTTGTGGCCAGCCCAGCAAGGCCTTAGAGATACCAACAGCCTACGCCTACACTCCTGGGTCCTATAGCCTGGTGCTATTTAAATGGCCTCCCTTCTCGGGACTTGGGGGGGATTTCTTCCCGTAGCCTTTGTGGTCTTCCTGGTTTGTGTTTTTCCTCCCTTTCCTCCTCCGGGCTCTGGATCAGACAGTGCTGCTCTCTCGATGAAGCTCTCACCCCGACCTTGCTCCCAGAAGCAGCAGATGAGCTGATGGGCAGCTGGACACACCCATCTGCTGTCCACCCAGAGATGGCAGGCAGCTGTGAACACAAACCCCGCCCAAACCATGAGATTGCAACTTAACCCCACGGTGATTTCTTTTTACCAGACGCGCACCGTGGCAGGAGGGTCGTGGCCTTGCACCCAAAGCAGTTCTTTGTGGGGCGCGTACATTTCAGGCTGCTCTGGAAAGACCACATGCTCTCTGCTGTGGGAAGTAGGAGCCCAGGATGATTCACGCCATCACAGCCCCCAGACAGTGTGACCACGATGGCACAGGGGGAAGGCGACCACCAGGGAAGGGGAGGAGTCAGTTCCTAGGGCCGATTCCAGGGGTGTCCTTGTTGGTAACATGGAAGCAAACCCTGAGCCCCTCGAGTTTGATGGTGAGCCTGCCAGGTGGGGTCGCAGCAGGAACAAGACAGATGGGCTGGCCCTCGCAGGCAGGCAGCTTTGCCTTCCCAGGGTTGCCTCCCACAGTCAGTGCTCAGCTTCGAGACTCCCACCTGGAGAGAGATGGGAAAGACAGCAGAGCAAGTGAGGGCAGGAGAGATCTGTGTGCTGGAAGACAGTGCAAGGTGGGAGGAGCAGAGGGGGAGGAAGACACAGATGAAATTGAGGAGGGCAGTGAAGGCGCATGCTGCCTTTGGAAAGCATCCTGCTGAGGGACGCCCCAGAATACCTACGGGACTGGGCATGGTCCCGATGGGGAATCCTCCCTTCCTGGAAGCCAGCTCCAGGTAGTGTCTACTGTAGGAGCATCATCCCCTTTTCTAAACTGCTTACGGAGGCAGGATGAGCAGAGATGGCTGGAAGGAAGCAGCTGCTCCCAGAGAACGAGAAACTTGCATTGCTTCCACTTACAGCAAGAGAGCCACTTGCTCTCTGTCTCTGGGATCGTGGGATGTTTTTATTTGTGGTGCTTTGTAGCAACAGAGGTGCTTAGGTTGATCTAAGTTGTTTTCTTGTTTAACACACAAATCTTTCTCTAAGTGGAATATGTACTTACTAGTGTTCCTGCCGAGCAGCAGCTATGCCTTCCTCCCCCCTAGCTGCCTGCTGGTGATGGCACTTCTAAGGATACATCGGAGATTGGCGCCACGGGGAGGATGCTCAGCATGCAGGCTTTTGCTGAGCTTGGGGAAGCAGCTCGGGGAAGGGAGGACGCACAGTAAGCGTGAAGGAAACCTACCTGTGCCCCTGTCCATGTTCGCCCAACTAGGACTGCGGTGATCTGATGGGATCCTGGAGAAGTCACTCACGGAGCCCTGCATGTCCTGTTCCCTTGAGCTCGTGGAGCCACGATTGTGAGCCCCTGGTCAGGGTCGTGTCGTGGGGCAGAGCCTGCCCTCAAACGTGCGGCCTTGGTGGCTTTGTTTATGGTGAAAGAACAGATGGTGCATCGCATCCCGTGGCCCTCAAATCAGTGATTCAGTAGACACGGGGGCTGGGGGGCGGGTAGGTCCTTTCAGGTAGCCCATCTTGCCTGCTTCGTGAGCTGACATCTGAAGAACGGGCAGGCTTTGAAACTCGGCCTCCTCACCCGAGAGTGGCAGGAGGAAACTGGTACTGAGCCTGCGGTGGGAAAGAGACTGCTGGGGCAGCTCAGCCCCTCTTGGTGGCTGCCCGCAGGTCACCTCTGGCCCGGACCCCCTGCTAGGGCACTGAGGCTCTCAGACCCAAGCCCTTAGCCTCCTGGGGGTGGATGTCCTGCCGTCAATGCATGCATGGGGGCTGAAGAATTGCCGAGCTGTTGTCATTTGCAAACAAAGGGACTAAGTAAAGAACAAATTGGCAACTGGGCTTCTCCTGAGTGAAACGCCCAGGGAGCCAGAAAAGGAGGTGCTTTCAGCACCATCCACTTCTGCCTGGTTTTAACATTTTTCCTAAGAGGGACAAACAGTCTTTCTCCTCCAAGGCAGGCTGTGTGTGTGAACGCACGCACGTATGGGGGTGTTTTGTGTGTGTGTGTGTGCGCTTTTGTGTGTATGGTATGTTATGTGCATGCAGGTGTGTGTATTGTGTCGTGTGCACACACGTATATGTCGCATGTGCATTTGTGTGGTGTGTGTGTGTGCACGGGTGTGTGTGCAGGTGCAGAGTCACCTCAGTCTCCCCGGGAGGAAGCCTTAAGTCCTTTCAGCTCTGCTCTGAGTCACACCTGGGGGCTGGCTCTGCAGCCGTGACTCACCACACTGAAAAACAAAACCCCAAAAGTCCCCTCTGTCTGCCAAAAGATAAATATCTGGCTATTGAAGATAAGGCCAATGATTAGTCCAGGGAGGTTAGGATGACTGTGCATGTCCTCCCAAGAATGCAGGCTTGCAAAGAATTGGTTTGCAAACACCTCATCCGGAAATCCTAGTTCAGCAAAAAGCCTTTTAGATAAAAGTGTATTTATGCAGTCACGAGGCTTCCTGCTTTGTCCCTTTCTCTTTGTGGTCGTAGAGTTTCTGCTCCCACCACTCCATGAGAGGGGCTGCTCAGGGTTGCCAAGTGCAGGGGCTCCCAGGCCTGGCCTGGCCTCGCCGTCACGTGGCCTTGGTGGACTCCCTCCTTCCCGAAATGCCTTGCTGGTCTCCCTCCCCTCTCTTGTCTGTGCTGTCCTGGATTAGACCCTCTTCCTGCAGTGCTCTGAGCCCTGCCCAGTCTTTTCTCCGTCCTCTGCAGGGCGGAGGGGTAGCGAGTTCCCAGCCTGAAGAGAACAGAGGCCTGCCCCTCGCCAGGATCACCCTGCTTCATTTACTCCTCCCTCTGTGACTGGGTGACATAACTCCATCGAGAGAGAGGGAAACTGAGGCTGAAAGTGGCTAAGGAACGTATCCAGGGTCATCCTGCTGGGTAATGGGAGTTGGCACATGGAAGCTGGACCCAGGCTGGTGTCCCAGAGCGCAGTGCCCACCTGCTTTCACTCTCCATCCTGCCTCTCCTCCCCCGGGGACCTCAAATGCCCTCTGTTAAAATTACCTCTGTGAGGTGAGGCACTGCATCTCCCACTAGCATTAAAACCTATGTTCTTTAGCCCGGAAAAGAAAGCACCGTAAATCCCTCACTAGTGTTTAATGACCAGGTTTGTCCTATCACCTTGGGAACAAGGAAGGTGGTCCTGATGGTAGGATGGGGACACCGAACTAGAATATTTTCACGTGGGAGGGAGGAGTGGAGAAATTTGGAGGCATCTTTTCTTCTGGCCCCAGGGGTGGGGGCTGGAGCACTGGGACTGCCCCTTGGTGTTTTCTGAAGCTGGTCCTGTGCAAGTTGCAACTCAAGAGGATTGTGGTCTCATGCTGGAAGTAGTGCAATTAACATGTGTTAATTAAAGTGAAGAGTAATAGTTCCTTAGCTTAAATCAGATCCTGGGCACTGTTGAAGAGTTGCCTTTATAGAAAGATGTTGGCTGAGTTGGTTGCTTTCTCAGCATTCTGGACCTGTGCAAGTCACACCTGCCACTGGGTCTTATGCACTTAATCTCATTGTAGCCAACTATGCCTGCAGTAGTTTAAATAATCTGCTACTTTCTTCTCTTTTTGTCAGTTGAATAATGGAGAGTAACAAATTGGCTGCTAGTCAATATCTAGAAACAGACAACAAATTCTTAACCCAGTGCTTTTTTCCTTTGGGGATTAAAGGATAGAATTTCAGCTCAACAACATAGCCACAGGCCCATGGAATTCCTGTAGTCCAGGGAACCTCCGGGTCTGATGTTCAAGTCCTCCACTGCAGAATTACTAATGCATGTGTTATCTGAGCGTGATCTAGCTGCCTGGAAAGCTACCCTGTAAGGGAGCAGGCTGGTAAGAAATGGAAAGGACCAGCAGCATCGCCCAGGCCGGCCTTGGCAGGCCAGGGTAGAGTTACTCAGATCAAGGGCAGCGCATCTGATAACTGCCACAGCCTCCCCCTCGTGATGCTCAGGACTGTACTTTTTGTCCTTTTAAAACTCCCTTGCACTACATTTCAGTGGGGGCCAGCAGGCAGATGGGGAGTTGGTGCACTCTGAAATAATTGTGTGTGCGGATGGAGGAGGAGAAATATTCTTTAACGTGTAAGTTTCATCTGCTTCTATGCAGGTGCTATCACGCTAGAAGCGTGTGGAAGCTGTGTTGTGTTGACTTAGTGGCGTGTTCAAGAACACGGTGGCATAAGGTCAGGACTGGCTACAGGTTCAAATCAAGTCTTGGCTTGCCTTGTCAAGTAGAGGCCTGACCAGTGCAGACAACTAGATCTTTGGGCTGTGGCTTGTTCATTTCATTCAGTCCTTTTCCAGTCACTCCCTGCTACTTGGCTGTTGACCAGGTGAACATAGAGGGATTAAGAAAGATCTTAGTTAAATCCCAGAGCGCATTTGCTTCTGTTCCTAACATGGGGTGGGGGGCCATTGCTGGGTTTTGAGGGAGCTTGGCAAGGTGGTGCAAATTCCCTGCGAGCTGCAGCAGACCCTGGGAGAGCCCGCGTCTGCTCTGGACTCCTCGGAGGCGGGTCGGCAGCCAGCATGCCCATGAGTGCACTGGGCCGGCCTGTGGGTCACAGAGTAGCCCAGCCACGCTGGGGACAGGCGCAGAGGGCGCTGGAGTCGCCGTCTGCCCTTCATTCCTGCTGGTGTCGGGTCTCAGGAGCCAGATCCCATTACCCAGCCCCAGGACGTTCGATTTCATTGAAGAATACTTTTCCCTTTTATGTTTCCCTCTGGTGCAGACGATTTACATGGATGATGGAGTGTCGTCTTTTGTCCAGATCAGAGGCTCGGTTCCGCTGTTTTGGGAGCAGCCAGGGCTTCAGGTAGGTAATAAAAAAAGTATGTCCACTTGTGTCATTGTTCACCCTGCCTTGGCTTCTAAACAGCTGTGGTTTGTTTCTTTTAACCATGTTTCTTTCATGGCACAGTTTCTGGTCTTAGTCCTCGGCCCAGTTGTATTGAGCTGAGCTGTCAAAATGTGTGCAAGTGTGTGCAGTGTTTATACAGAAACATGTACATTGTGTGTAATTTTCTGATCATGAGCTCGCCGTTGATGCAGGTGAAGTGGGAAGGTCTTTGCTGATAAGTGAACCACAGTGTAATTGAGTAGAATCACCTTAAGTTAGACGCCAAGTTCAGTGTATTGAAAACGTGGCCAAAGATTTTTTTTGAGAGCCGTGACTGTCCTAGAGGGCTGTGAGAGGTTCTCGGGGTCCTGGTGGCCGTGCAGCAGGTCTGGCCTCTGGAGGTGCCTGTTGTGGGGCCACGTGAGAATTGCACAGAGCTTTCTTATGATTTCTAAAAATACACCTTGCCATCCCAAACAGGGCTCTGGTCAGTGCCAGAGGTATTTGGCGTTCTGGCTCCTGGGACAAGTTCAGGGTGTAGTGCCATGTCCCAAGAACACATTTGTCGTCAATGGAACACACGCTGCCTCATTCAGTGAGTCCCTACCCAGGGGGTCACGGGCGAGTGAACTCGAGATTCCTCAACACCGGTCCTGGATCCTCCTCCCTGGCCGGAGGGAGTGCTGGTGCACTCAGAAGACCTCTCTGCCGTGGCGTCTGTCACGTTGGCTCTTCTTACCCAGGGCTCTGTGTGATGGCGGTCGGGTCATCAGCCAGTGGCTGAAGAGGCTCAGGGCCATCTGCCAGGTTCTTGGAGTGTTTGCCCTTGACTTGACCCAGTGTCAGCAGTAGACACTTTGTCCTCATGCTGCATGTCATCGTGCTGCAGTTGACAGCCATGGAAAGGAACCATGTCAGTTCTTCGAGTGAGATGGATGGATGGGGATCTCATTTAGGCTCTGACTTCTGTAGATGAAAAAAAAAAGCTTTATTAACATTCAGTCTTTCCATTAGAAAGGAACAACTAAGATGTATGAGGATGGCTGGTGGCTTTAAGTGATGGCATAGAGAAGCACTCCTGAGGATAATTATAACGTGGAAAATTCCTCTGGAGTTCATCCCAAAAGAGTTATTTTTTTTTAAACAGCTGTACTGAGATATAATTTACATACCATAAACTTCACCCATTTCAAGCATACAGTTCAATGGTTTTCAGTGCATTTCCAGAGTTGTGTAACCATCACCATAATCTAATTTTAGAACACTTTTATCCCTGCTAACAAACCCTGTAGCCGTCAGTGGTCACTCTCCATTCCCTCCCAGCTCTCCCAGAGCCCTAAGCAACTATTAGTCTACTTTCTGTCTCTGTGGATTTACTTGTTCTGGACATTCCAACAGGGTTCTTGAAATTCGATTTTCTTTAGATTTAGAGTTTTCCTTCTGAGAGTTCTGGAGCTCTGCATTTAGAAGAATAAAAAGTGAAGATCATGGGCCGGCCCTGTGGCTTGGTGGTTAAGTGCGTGCGCTGCGATGCTGGCGGCCCGGGGTCGGATCCCAGAGGCGCATCGAGGCACCACTTCTCTGTCCATCCTGAGGCCGAGTCCCACATACAGCAACTAGAAGG